ACATGCCACATCTGTAGCCACGAATGTTCGAGCTTTGAGGCGCTCCAGAAGCACCTGCAGAGCCACGCGCCTCCGCTCGACCTGCTACGACGGGACGAACAACATGGGACTCGAGCCCGCCAAGTTCGCGCTGAAGCACAAGCAGGCCGACGGCGAGGGCGACGACGCCAGGAGGAAGAAGCAGCAGCGCACCGTCGAGGCGCTGGTCCAGGGGAACGGCAAGGACGACAACGTTCTCGGTCGCCTCGTTACCGTCCTCGCCAGGCTGGCGCTGACCAACGCGGCAGAGCTACGCGACATCGCAGGGATCGTGTTCATCTGCCTACTCCTGCCCATCGACGGCGCCGTCGCGGTGGCCATGAAGGCCGCAGGGCAGACCTACCACGAGACGGTCCAGGCGCTCAAGTCCAAGAACGACGAGAAGGGCCTCGAAGAGTTGGGCCCACCGTACGTGCACATCTTCATGGCCATGGTGATGGGCATCAATCAGGAACCGTGCGAGCAGTGGACGAAAGACCTCATCCTGGCGTTCTGGATGGCACGCATCAAGGGCAAGGGAACGACGGAGGTGCAAGCAGCAGCACTGCACTGCAAGTGCAGGCCCACGAAGCCCAAGGAGAACAAGAAAGGCATGGTGAAGCTCTCGCTGGCACTCCCCGCCAAACACTCGGAGGTGCAGGACGCGCTGGTCTCGGAGCTCTGCCGCAGGCAGGGCCAGATCAAGAGGGGGCCCGCGCCGCGCGGCCCTCTCGAGCGAGCGGCGCAGCAGCTGCTGGACGAGTTCGAGGGCAACAAGAAAGGCAAGGCGAAGGGCAGCGGACAGTGAGGATGACAGCCAGCCAGGAGAACATCATAGGCCGCCATTCTCAGCGATTGCTCGACCTAGTCAGACGACGGCTGGTACCTTTGGAAACAGCTCTTCGCCAGGCCACAGCATCGATGACGGTGGACCCCGTACGACGCCGAACCAAGCACTAAGGTTTTTTAGACACTCTCAATGATACCTCAAATTTCACATGGCTTCGGAGAGAGTGCGCCAGAGTTGAATTAGATATCGCGTGTCTTGGATGTTCATCTGAGATCGCCCACCCCCCTCGGCCCGCAATGCGGCTAAAGTCTGGACACCCGCTCTGAGCGGTGTAGCTGCACCTTGGGGGGTGGGCCATGCACGACAATCACTTTGACGACTTCGATTGCGCCGCGACCGAGGGTGGCTGCTAGCACAATGAGGACTCGGAGGCATTGACAACACAGATGGCAACTCCTTTTGCGAGACGGCTGTCGTGGGCATGCTGTACTGAGACGCTTTGCGACGTCGACGCCCTGACCCGTACACGGTCGCATTTTTGGTCATGTGCGAGTGTTCGCTCCCCTTCTTCCCCTCCTCGCTGGCGGGGTCAATGCCTGGGCGTCGCCAAGGCTTGTGCCACCTGGTGGTCGACCTTCGGGTCTTGCCCCTTCGGGGGCTCCACCTGGTGATGCAGGCCGAGGCGGCGTCCCAGTGGATTGACCACGCCTGGGAAAGAAAAGCCTGCCTGCTGAAATCGCCGTTTCCCCCTGAGTGGAGTCACTGCTTCAGCGGATTCTTGTTGCCTGTGTGGTGCAGGGCAGCCCCTAAGTCCCCCACCACAGGGCGCTGCAGACTGCCCGAGGGTATCCCCCCAGCACATGCAGCTCATCCCTAAACAGTAGGCCCTCAGGGTAAGGTTAGAAAGCCAGCCAAATTATATGATCTTCTAAGGGTGCTGGTCAGAGTGACCAACACACTCGTTTTTGATGTGCTGACTTGTGGAACACTGCCCCTCAGAGCATTGATTGATATATATATATATATATATATATATCCCCCCCGAACCTTCGGGCCGTCTAGAGTCAAGTCGGGCCTGTCCCTCTACAGGGGGAACATTCATAAATAGTCACAAAATAGTCTGGGGACTAATATTGTTTGATCATTGTGGAGCATTTTTGGAGTATGTTTTATTTTTCGTCGAACATCCCCTTGTAGGGGGACGCGTCCGACTTAAGTCTAGAGTCTAGGGCCAGTCTGTGCCCTCTTCGGAGCTCGTCTGGGGACTCATTCGGAGCCGTCCTGGGCCCACCTTGATGCCCCAAGAGCCGATCGGAAACGACAAGGCGAGAAGACCAAAAACATGGATTTTCCAATGGGTTATCACGGATGTACATTTTTTGGGGCCCTCTTCGGCCAGCTTTCGGCTTCTATTGGCTTCGGCTAGCGCCTCTCTGAGGCCACCCTGGGGTCATCTTGGCGCCTCTCGAGCCAACCGGAAAAGAAAAGCGAGAAGGCCGCACACATTGCTTTTACAATGGGTTTTCTCTGATGTTCGAGTCTCCGGGGCCTGTTGACCCAGCCTCGGGCCTTTTTGGGGCTCGTCACGGGACGCATTTCGAACCGTCCTGGGGCTATCTTGACGCCCCAAGAGCCAATCGTAAGCGAAATTCGAAATGGCGAAAAAAACATTGATTTTCCAATGGATTTGTCATTTCTGCTATATTTTTGCGGCCTTGTCGGGCCAGCCTTGGGCCTCTTTGGGGCTCGACGCCGGCAGCCTAGCAGCGCGCATGCCGAAAATAACATGTTCTGTGGGAGGAGGAGGAAGAGGAGGAGGAAGAAGATGAGGAGGAGGAGGCATGGGGAAGGAGGAGAAGGAGGAGGAGGAGAAGGATGAGGAATTAGAGGAAGAGGGGGAGAGAGGAGGAAGAGGAGGAGGAGGAGGAGGCGAAAGAGGAGGAGGAGGAGGAGGAGGAGGAGGAGGACAAGGGGGAGGAGGAGAAAGAGGAGGAGTATGCCCTGCGTCATGCTAGCCCAACCCCTCGCCTGAAACAGATTCGCGCCTCTGGGCTCCGAAACGCCCTGAGATGGCATCAGCTGGTGTTGTCCGGTCGTTGCCGCTCACGAACTCCTCACCCCTTCCGGTTTGGCGGTGGACCGCCCAATGCCCACGCGCACGCACGTCGTTTACGTTCGAAATTGCAGCGAACAAGGTGCATGGCTCGAAGCGCCAGTGCAGTCTTACATAGTTGTGTATGTGGAATGTGGAGCGTTCTGATGCGTTTGATGTAAGATCTCCGTATTGTTTTGTATTGTGAGGTCCCCCATATTGTTTTTCAGCGCTTCTTTTTTTTTCTTCCGAGGAAGCGCTAGTGCCGAGCACCTTTGAGACTCATGGCTTATATGGGGCATCACAAGGATTATTCGGTTTGTGGTTTTTGGCTTAGTGTTTGCCTCGCGACGAGCGTGGTCCCAAAGGTTTGTTTGTCTGTTGTATTGAAAATGTGGGTTGCAGTATATATGTATTCAACACGGCATTGTTTCGATCGTGTTGAAGTGTACGTGTTCTTCTTGTTTCTGTTTGTGAGGTTTTGAAATTCAATTGTATGAAACTTGCTGTGTGTACAGTGCTATTCATGGTTTGGGCTGCAATGTTTTCGTGTTGCGGTTACTTGTGCAGCTTCGTATTTTTCAACCTTTGCAAGAATTTGAACCAACATCTTAAGCATCATACGCATGAGCTTTTTCGCCTACGGCCTTCGCGCATACATTTGTGAATATGGGGGCCCCGTGCTGGTACGGAGTTCCGGGCCCCCCAAAGTGCACTGATTTGTCCTCCGGCCGTTTCGGGCCCGGCGGGGCCGAGAGACCTCCCAGAGGGCGTCAAGATTGGCCCATTGGGCCAGGCCCAAGAACGCTCCAAGAGAGCCCAAGACCGCACAGGAGCGTTTCAGAATTGGTTCAACATGGCTTGAAGACTGCCCAAGAGGGATTCAAGACGGCCAAGATGCCTTCAAAAGGATTCCCACGAGGTACTCTGGAGGCGAAACAAGTATTTTGTCTGGTATGGTTTTCAAAGGTTTTTCGTGTTCTCGCTGTTTCGTGCTTCCGACGGTCCAAGACAGCCCACGAGGCCCCAGAAATCAGCTCAAGACGGCCCAAGAGGCACCCAAAGAGGGTGCCACGACGGCGCAAGAGAGTCCAAAGACGGCCCAAAATTGCCCCAAGACGGCCAGACAGGCGCCCAAGATCGCCGAGGAGGGCCCCAAGACGGCCCCAAGAGGGGCCCAAGAGGGGGAACACGAACCGACAATTCGAGACTTCCGCCCCAAGAGGTCTCCAGGAGGCCCCAAGACCCCAAGAGGCCCCCAACAGAGTCCAAGAGGCCCGGTAGAGGCCCCGTAGAAGCCCCACGAGGCCCCAAAGGAGCCCAAAAAGATGCTCCATGAGCACCCCAAGCGGCCCCCTAGGGGCTTCCAAACCTGCCTTAAAGAGGCCCCCGGGAAGCCTACCGCGACCACAACCCAGGCACGGCGGCGGGATTGGCCGAAGGCCACTATCGGGAACGTGAACCGAGAACCTGAGATCGTCGCCCCGGGAGACCCCCAGGAGCGGCCAAGAGGTCCACAAGAAGTTTGGCGACATATCACCGGCCAGCCGATGAGATGGGAGGATGATGAATGAGGAAAAGGCAGGACAAACAGATAAAGTTGACTTCATTATTATTGACCGCCTTGTTGTTTCAATGCGGTCAGCACTCGACACGCTAGAACCTAAGCGCGCGCGAAGCGCGCGATGGTTCCCGTATATACACATATACAAATATCTATATATATATATATATATATATATGTCTATACATGTTTATATGAATGTGTATGGTTGTCGGCATGCATGCATCCGTTTGTTCGTTCTATGCTCCTTATACACACCTATGCGTGGACACACACACATACGTATCTACAGCTATGTGTATACATCCATATCTATACACATATATATATATATATGTATGTATACATATGTGTGTCTATATATATGTGTGCGTACGCATGTGTGTATGTGTGTACGTATGCACGTACGAAGGCCATGAGCAGACGTACGCATGCACATCCAAAATCCCAGCATCAAAGTCCGACAACCTCGATCCTCGAGCCTCGACGGCTCCTCGGCCCACCAGCGCCGGGTGGGGCGTGGGGGGGCGGGCCAGGGCGCGCTGCTGCACGCCCGCCACGCGGCGAAGCAGCTGCGCTTCGCCTGCGAGGCGAGCCTCCTCCCTGCATCTGCCATCTGCCATCCTTCTCCCTCCTCCTCCCTCCTCCTCCCTCCGCCGCCGCCGTCGCCCGTCCCTTCTATCCCCCTCCATCCTCCTCCTCCTCCTCCTCCTCCTCCCTTTCCCCTTCCTCCCTCCCCCCCTTCCCCCCGGCATCCGCCCTCTCCTTCCATCTTCGGCCTCCGTCCCACTCCTCTGGTCCTCCTCGTTTTTCCTTCTCCTCCTCCCCCTGCCCCCGGGACCCATTTCGATCCGATCCGAGATCGATCCTGGCTGGTTCGATCCGATGTGGTCCTTGGGACTACGGCGTTCCGATCCGATAAGATGTCTTGGCTGGTTCGATCCGATCCGACGTTCCGATGCGGCGGACATTTGCAGGGTTGGCGTCGTTGTGCATCCTGGTGCGGCCGATGCGATTCGATTTCGATTCGATGCAGCCCGTTCCAAGTAACATGTCGACTCTACCCATTTAGCCAATTCGATGTTGACTAATCTTGCCCTTTTGCGAAGATAGGTATTGGTTCTGATTTCTCAAACTTCCAGCAGCACGTTCCATCAGCAGCACGCCGGGCAAAAACATCCGCGCTGACCCGCTAGCACGCGTTGACCGTAGCCCAGATAGAGCCTGCGATGGAGTAGCCTCGTTTGCACTGAGCGCATCCTCCCTTCTCCTCCTCGTTCTTTCTCCTCGCCTCCTCGCCTCTTCCCGCTTTTTTCCTGTCCCCCCCTCCCTCCCTCCCTCCCTACTTCCGCTTCCTCCTTCTTCTCCCCTTCCTCCTCCTCCTCGTCCTCCTCCATCTCCTCCTCCTCCTCCTCCTCCTCCTCCCCCTCCCGCTCCTGCATGGCTTTCCCTTATACATGGTTTTTCCCTGTCGCACCCCAAGCCCAGTTTTTATGGAGGGCCGGGCGTTCCGCTTCCGCTTGAGACCTCCTCAACACCTGTGACCCTGAAGCTCAACAAACTGCAACAGTTTCACAGATGGAGGGCGGTTGGTTTTCAAAATGGGGCTCTCGCCTCAGCGCCGCGCGTTTGGGTCTTTGAACAAATTGCAATAATTCTGCGGATTGAGGGCGGCAGGTATCAACATGTGGCTCTCGTTTTAACGCAGCGAGCATTCGTTTCTTTTGTGTTGCGCATTTTTTTAGAAGATGCCGCAGTTTCACGTATTGAGGGCTGTTCTTTTTCAACATGTGGTTCTCGCCCCAGCGCCGTGCACAGTCAAGTTGATCCGTAAATACCCGGAACAATGTTTTTTTTACAGAAGGGAAAGAAACACACAGGCACAATTAATCGTTGATTCCCCAGAAAATAAAAGAAAATATGGGAAGTGGGGGGAAGACCGAAACCCCAAACATATGGCAAAGTATGGGGGATAGTTTTATTTGTATATATATATATATCTTTATCTGTGTGTGTATGTGTCCCAGGGCCCCTTCATACATACCCGAAACAATGTTTTGGCACGCTCCAGGGTCTTGACAGGGTTGCGCTCCAACGAGGCCGTTCCTGCAGTGGAAATGAAACCTTGGGAGGGGCCTGTGCAGAGGGAGCTTGAGGGAGGGCTGAATCCAGCATCGGTGGTGGATCCTGGTCTTCACACTGGTCCTCCTCCATATTTCCTGCTCCACCTCCTTCTTTCCTCCTCCTTCTCCTCCTCGCCCCCTCCCCTTTTCAATCACCTCTTTCCCCTCCCCCCCTCTTGACGTGGCCGTCGCCGCGCTACCTGAACCTGCCTAGTGCTGGGTGGACGGATGTCTTGGTGTGGTATCGTGTGGGCGAGTCGCCGCTGGTCACGTCCAGGCGGGGCCATCCAGAGGACTGTTGCTGTTGTCCATTTATCTCGGCACCTCTGTGGGCATGGATCCCGTACAGTCAAAAAATCGGGGGTGGACAGAACCCCCAACAGTGACACGTCGATTAGTGAATTGTCAGTTTTCGGTTCTCGAGAGGGCGCCGTGGCCCTTATTTTCCAGGCTTGCGCCCTCCAGGTTTGGGCCTCAGGTCGATTTCACCAAACCACGTTTTACTAAAGGGTGTCTGTCCATCCCCGCAAAAATCCTAATAAGGACGCGCGACTTTGCTCAGGGTACCCTTGCGTCCGTGCGCTTCCTTGCGCTCGCGGCCCTGGGGTTTTCGTCGTCCGCCGCCCCAAACAAATCCCAACTTCGGCTTCCAAGGGTCTTGCGTCCTCACCGCGCGTCCTTATCACTCCGGATCTGGATCTCATAACAATGGGGGGGGGTCTGCTTCTGGGCGGGGTCTCACGGGCTTCGTCAAACACATTTGTGGGGGGGGTCTCGATTTTGGACTTTCTGTTGCCTGTCTTGGGGGGTCGTCCCAGACCGGCCGTCAAACACTTTTTTGACCCCCCCCCCACCATTATGAGATTTGGAATCGGGTTCTTGACTCCACGCCGCGCCGATCGCAGTGCAGGGCCCTGGTGTGGGTGCTCCTGGGCGCTGGGAGCATGCCGGTGGGCGAGAGCTCGACCAAGCATGGGGCGCGCGCACGAAACCGAACCAGGCACGGGAAATGGACGTCCGAGCGACGGCAAGTCTGTGGGCATGGATCCCGTACGTCGCGCCGATCGCAGTGCAGGGCCTCGGCTTGGGTGCTCCTGGGCGCTGGGGAGCATGCCGGTGGGCGGGAGCCCGGACCCAGCACGGGGGGGCGCACGCTGGCCGGGGCGTCCCCGGCGCTTGCCCGCCGAGCCCACCGGCAGGAAGCTCCTGCCTGGTCGGGTCAGCGACGATTTCGATGCTCGTTTTGGGGACGTTCCTGTGGCCCACCTAATGGATCTGTTCGACCCAGGTTCGACTCAAGTTCGACTCAGGTTCGACTCAGGTTCGACTCAGATTCGACTCAGGTTCGACTCATGTTCGACTCAGGTTCGACTCAGGTACGACGCAGCTTCGACGCACGAGTGGAGCGAGTGGCTCCAGGAAGGTCCCCAGAATGAGCATCTAAGACGATGCTCGGGGGCGGAAAAGAGGGGGGTGATGACTAAGGGGGGTGGATATCATGGCGGGGGCCATGATATTGCCCCAGATTTTCTAGTGCCTCTTCTCGTTTCATTGCGCACCTGGCCCCCCCGCTGGGCCGCGCACGTGCAGCCGGTCATGATCTGCACCCCCCCTCCTGGACACCCCCCTCTTTGCCGCTCCCGAGATGCGGCGTGCTCCAAAAATAGGGCAGCGAAAAGTGACATAAACATAACAACTCGGAGGTCCGCGCGGATTTCTCGGATCCGCGCTGGACCCCCCTGGCGGCGCCTCCGGCGCCGCCCCTGGCGCGCTGCTCCGCGCGCCAGGGAGGGGGTCCAGCGCCGATTCGAGAAATCCGCGCGGACCTCCGAGTTGTTATGTTTATGTCAGTTTTTGCTCCCCTATGGTCGGCTGGGTCAGCGACGATGCGGCGTTCTCCAAAAACCTCCTGCCCAGACTCTGGGGTAGGTGGCCACGTGCGAACACTACCCCTCCCCCCCGCGATTTTTGAGGGGGAGGGTGGGGTTCACGTTGTTCGAGAGCTCCCGAGCGAAGTGAACCCCACCCTCCCCCTCAAACATCGTGGAGGGGTAGGGGTAGGGGTCGCATGTGGCCCCCTACGGTCGGGTCATCGACGATGCGGCGTTCTCCAAAAGCCTCTTGACCAGACTCTGGGGGCCAAAGGTCGAGGAGTCCGCGCCGCTGCCTGCCCATGCTGTGGTATGCCCGCCGCTCCTGGTCAAATGGCAGGGTCCCTCGTGAAAGCGTTGTGTGCTGTGGGGGGCGGAGCCGCCGCTCGACCGGGCGTGGGCACAGTTCCAGGAACGCATCCTTGATGCTGGCAGGGCGCTGCAGGACGGCTGGGATGGCGTTGTGGTTCGGGGCCTCCTCCCTCCTCCTCCTCCCCCTCCTCCTCCTCCCTCCTCCTCCTCCTCCTCCTCCTCCTCCCCCTCCTCCTCCTCCTCCTCCTCCTCCTCCTCCTCCTCCTTCCTCGCCAGCTCGGGGTTGTGGTTCGGGGCCTCGGCGCCGGGCTCCTCGACAGTTGCGACAGCGTCGGCGGCGAAGAGCGCAAGCGCTACTAGGGCAGAGCAAGGGCACTTGCGACCAAGGGGGCGCAGGTCAACCGGCAGCCGCCTTGCAAGAGGTCGCGCTCATCCACGAAACTGCTGGTAGGGGGCTCGTTTGTCCGTTGGGCCAAGCGGTGTTTGGGGCCAAGGCTCGTTTTAGCCAAGCCCATCTTGCTCATGATACGCCAACCTGCCCAGCCAATGCTTGGGGTAGCCAAGAAACCCGCTAACCGCATGCCGATGATAATAAAGGGACCCCCCCTTCAGTGTTTAGAGTTGATTATCGTCGCCCTATACAAAATTCAAATTGGGCGGCGAGCGCTGAGGCCGAACTTCATTATCACCTCGAAACGCTATGTTGAGATACCCCATGCCCATGCCCATGGTTTAAGTCCTTCCTTTCTTTTTCTTTATGATGTATCTCTCTCTTTCTCTCTCTCTCTCTCTTTTTCTCTCTCTCTCTCTCCATGCCCCCCTCTGAACTTTTTTATCCCTGGGGTTGATTATCCATGGAAAATGAAGCACATGAGCTACCCTACACGAGCACTTACAAATTTTAATTTCCATAAAGCGCTTGTAAATAAAATCTAATACATTTGAACTTGGGATTTTTCCTTCTCTTTCTCCTCCTCCTCTAATTTCTTTTCTTTTTGTTTTTTTTCCTTTTTCTTGTTCATTTCTTATTGTTTCTTTTTTAGTTTTGTTTGTGTACATCGCTTTCTCCATTCCTCCGCCCGCCTGAACTTTATTATCGCCGCGGTTGATTATCCAGGGACACCGAGGCGGATGAGCTATTCCGAGGATGTCTCAAGCGAAACAAGCATATACTCGAGGATGTCTCAAGCGAAACAAGCATATACTGAAGGATGTCTCAAGCGAAACAAGGGATTAGTCGAGGATGTCTCCAGCGAGATAAGCCATTGTTGAGGATATTTCTAT